TTAGAGCAACACTAACACACTGATTAAATGTCACTTTGTGCCAAGCCCCGGGCTAAGCGTTTTACAGGTGGTTGCAAAGAGGTGGAAAGTTTGTTGATCAGAGTTCCAGGGTGGTGGGCCTGGGGAAAGGAGGCTAGTCCTTTGGGAAAAGGCAGCCAAGCAGAAGCCCCATCTCCTCTTCGCAGAGGGTGAAGAGCAGCCCTGGGAGGGGGCGTTCTCAGGAAGAGAGGAACGGAGCAGGAGGGTACCTGGAGAGAGGGGTCTGCCCACAGAGAGGGAGGGGGTATTACCATCTCCGTGAGAGGGAGGCTTTGGGTGACAAAGATGCTCTTTTTGACCAAACTTTAGACTCCTCTGAGCCCTCTTCTCCACTACGCCTTAACCTTGCCCCCCATCCCTTTCTGTCTTTGGCCTGCCTGGTCCAGTCTTAGCGAGGATGTTGCTAAGTCAGTTTAGAGAGACGCCGCCTCTCTGGATATCTGATCACCCTGGATATCTGCTCAAGTTCCTCATTACCCCACCTTTGACATCTGAGTCCTTGGCCTGCCTTCAGTGAGAATCCCCCTACCTTGCTGTCTCCTCCCATAATTTTCTATCACTGAGCCTCACCCTGCCCCTTGGCTGTAAATCCCCACTTGTCCTTGCTGTGTCCAGAGTTGAGCCCTATCTCCTGTTGCAATAGTCTCGTCCCCTGTTGCAGTAGTGCTGAAAAAAGTCTTCCTTACTGTTTTAACAAGTGTCAAAATAACGTTTCGTTAGCGAGGAGAGGAAAGACACACAGTTTTCGGGAGCTTTTGTTGGGAAGGTCCCTGTTAGCCACTGGAAGGCCTCGGGAGCCAGGCTACCGTTTCTTTAGCTGATACCCCACAAAGGGGTCTAGTTTATCTTGTTTGCTGGGTTATAGGTTACCACATATGACCCTCCTGACATCTCTCCACGCATCCCTAGGGCCTTGAGCACTGTGTGTATTGTTTCCCAACACTCTCCCCAAGGCAGGGGGACCAAATAATTTATCTTTTGAAACAGGCCACTGCAGGCCCTCCTAAGAGTGAAAGGGGCATTGTTACTGACAGCAAGGGTCCTTATGCCTTTGATTAAATTTAACTTTAAATCCTAGCTCTAGAAATCCTCTCTCTCTGTAACGCTCCAGGACCTAGCCCTTTCCCTGGATAATCAGCAACCCCAAGGCAGCAGAAGACAGCGGCGGGGCCTGACTACTAGTCACAAAAAGTCCGTACCTCTGGCGGCTAAAGATAACCTCTTGACCTAAATTACATGTCAGCTCCTGATCCCTAAGGTGGAACTACCCGCTGGCTACTTCTTCCTGAAACCAGACATAGGGACGCTGGAGCAGACCTCCGAGCTCTCCCCCAGACCTGGAGAAATGACATTACCCTGACCTCACCTCCGACTCATCATACCCCACCACCTCCCCAAACCCTCGAATCCACGGCGTCTTGTGATTTTGCCCTAAATAATCCGTGACCTGCACGCTGTGGGCGTGTTCTGACTTTGGAGCATTCGCTTCCAGTTCTCCTGGGTGGTGCCGTTCGTAAGAGCCAGTTTCCCCACTGCGATTCTGTGTTTAGTGTTTGGCTCTGCTAGTCCGGGCGGACGAACTCTTTCTGTTCGATGACAGTCCTAACAATTCCTGGACGACAGGTGCAGATCAAGAAGACTGGGCTACGAACGGGAGGGCCTCCTTTTCCTTGCGCGCCTCCCAGCCACCGGGTTGGCTCTGCACCCTGGGTCTGACGCCAGACGGCCCATGGGGCGTGGTGGGGGCGGGGATTTCCAGAAAGGCCTGGAAACCCACGCCTGCCCCGGGCCTGAGCCGGTGGCCGCTAGGGGCGGGCGGCTGAGGGCG